TTTCGTTTGTACTACGCAGGGCTTGGGTAACGGGTAGGATTAAAAGAAAGGTAAAGGTCTGTTCTCTATTGTTTAATCATTTTTTGAGTATATACGGTTCCGTTGCTGCATTCGATCCTTGCCACATAAATGCCAGTTGGCAAATCACCCACCACAATAATATTCGAATGACTGTCCAGTTTTTTTTCAGCCACCAGTTTCCCCGACAAGTCGTAGATCTTTGCATTATTATAGGCAACTTCGCTGCTCTTGTCATTGTTGATGATCCGTACCTGGTCAACCGCGGGGTTTGGTGAAAAACTAATCGTTGGCCTCTCCAATTCCTTCTTTTCCTGCTGCATTACTACAGATACCACTTTCGAGTAACCATCATTATACTTATCGATATCCACCTGCTGAATACGGTAATATTGCCTTCCTTCCAACTTGTTCACATGGGTATAATGGTAATCATCCAGCGTCAAAGGACTATTCTTTGTATTCACCGAATCAACCGTTGTCCAGTCTCTTCCATTAGTACTATGCTGTACATAAAATATTTTGTTATTGTACTCAGTTACTATCCAGGTAAGTTCCACTTTTGTCTTGACAACTTTCGCGTCAAACACATTCCAAAAAACAGGTGGTGCCACATAGCTACGCTGCGTACCAGCAAAACCGCGTTGCGCCACAATGACCAGGCAAACCGCGATGAATAACACTATTTTCTTGCTCATAAGGTAGGGACCAGTTTCATTTTTAATAAATACCTAAAACTGGTTTTCCTCGGATAAAATGGATGCCCTATGGGCAATTCTCATTCTCAGGTTTTAAATCTTGCTGGTTTTTTACGGATTGGAATAAAGCGTTTCGTAGAACCTTTGTCAGTCCTGGAAATCGTATTTCGAGTAGAATCCGTAAAGAAAGGGATGATGTGTCTTAAGGGTTTTTACCTGTGGGGTGACAGTCATTCATCAAAGGGTTCGGATCAACTACGACGTAAATTTAATCACACGCATCGCATATTTGCAATAGGTAATCTACGTTCTGTCTCACTTTCCCCGAAATTAAATCATTAACAGCCTGACTAGCAGGAATATGAATTCAGCTATTTTTTTTGTTTTTCATTGCCTACTCTTCAATTTCTGTTGGGTTATGATGCCTTATCCTTTGAAAGCCGCCACCAGACTATGTTTCACGTAACACGTATGCGTAAAGTTACTTCAGCATTCCTTTCGTTACCAACCGTTGGAAGAACTGTCAACCCAGCCGGGCCGGCGGTTTAATATGACAGGCAGGGCGAGATCTTCCTTTCACTAACAGTTGTTTACCAACGGAAAATAAATTTTTGTATTCCATTTATCTCTTTACTTTTGCGCCAGACAATGAATAAGAACACACATACACATCATCATCATGTTACACAAGCGGTAAGCTGTGATGCTGTTATGTAGTTAAACATACATGAACTTTACAAAGGCTTACCAGAAACGGTGAGCCTTTTTATTTTAATACAGGTTATGAAAATCAAAATCGCAATTCAGAAATCAGGCCGTCTCTACGATGATTCTCTTCGTTTACTGAAAGAATGCGGCATCGCTATCGCTAACGGCGCCAATAAACTTAAAGCCGAAGCCGCCAACTTTCCCATTGAAGCGTATTTCCTCCGCGACGATGATATTCCGCAATATGTTGAAGACGGTGTCGCCGACATCGGTATCGCCGGAGAAAATGTCGTCTATGAAAAACAGAAAGAGGTTACCGTCCTCGAAAAACTGGGCTTTGGAAAATGCCGGCTTAGTATTGGGGTCGACAAGAATGAACAGTTTTCCCACGACTGGCTCAACGGAAAACGAATTGCAACCAGTTACCCCGTCCTTCTTCAACAATACCTCGATAAACAAAAACTCAACGCCGAAATACATGAGATCAGTGGTAGTGTAGAAATTGCTCCCGGGATAGGTCTCGCTGATGCCATTTGCGATCTCGTTAGCAGCGGTTCAACTTTACTTACCAACGGACTCAAGGAAGTTGAAACCATTCTTTCATCGCAGGCCGTGCTGATCAGTAATAACAATCTCGACGAAACGAAACAGAACCTGGTGCAAAAACTATTGTTTCGTATCAGGGCTGTACAAAAAGCAAGGAATAACAAATACATTCTTTTGAATGCACCTGACAATAAATTGCAGGAGATCATCAATCTTTTACCAGGCATGAAAAGCCCGACCGTATTACCATTGGCATCGCCACGCTGGAGCAGCGTTC